GTAGTGGACATTTTTTTTAAATGTAAATAATGTCTTCCCTCGCTTACTGTAAAACTTGTTTTTTCTAGCTAGCATGTTATTTAAGCTAATCCGTAATTTCATTAATTCAAGATGTCGCGAAATGAAGTATATTCCAGAAAGGGATGGTTAACATTTTAGATTCTGTTAATTCATGCATTGAGTCAAATTCATGTAAAATGGCATGCACATATTTCAAAGTGATAGTAGTTTTTAGTTAATTTATTGTTGTTGAAAGATTTTTTTTTTTTTTAAATATATATTTATTTTTCTGTAATTTTCTCTATAGAATTATCTCCAAAAATCACCCCGGAACCCTATTTATAATGGTCAACCCCTATAATATATTTTTCAGTTGCATCATCCATGCCAAGTTTATATGGCCCCGAGCTGAAGAGCAACAAAGTTTTAACTTACCAAACTGAGGCCTCTGCATATGAAAGAAAATAAGAGAGAGATAAGAAAAAATAAGAGTCAAATTTCACGTACGATAGTGATACAATCTACCGGCATGTGGAATATTATCGCAGTTTCCAATTTCACTGAAACGTGTCCGTGGAAGTCAATTATATATTTATTTTTGGAAATGTTTAACCTCCGGGTTTAACTACGTCGATCGCAGTTACATCAGCTCAACAGAAAAAGTAACAAGCATATTTCACAAAATCGATGCAGATCATGGACATAAAAAATATATACCCACCTTCGTACTGCTGGTCAACACTCATGATGCGTTTTACAAATACACTTGTAATTGTGAATTAAACGGAGCCTGAGCCAAAGTTTCCGATCCACGTTGAAACATCGATCAAATCACCATCTAATTCCACGTTTAACTCGTTTCATCAATGTACATCATGGATTCAATCCACATGACGACAGCAGCAGACTGTTGACTACTTTCAATTGTATGCAAATGTTCTGTAACAGGGGGCATGGAATCCTTGACTGCTGTTTACTCGGAAGATCAATGACATCGGTCACAACTGGTGAATATATTCAAAATGGCCGCTTCAATCAAATCAGACGACACAACGCCCCAAGATGATGACACCGATCAACAAATCAAAATGAGATCTGCGTTAATCTACTGGTAGAATTATATTCCTTAGGTCAAATACAGTTTGCGGTCAACAGAGTACATCGTGAAAAGATGCGACTAGAAGATAATTTCAATGATGACTCGTAAATTTTTTTTATCCCATTCAAGTTGATCAACCGGACAGTAATGTAAGGATTTATAAATATTGTGTTTGAGGGCGCACTCATTTAAGCGCGATAAACAAATAGGACCCAATGATGGCATTTGTATCACATCAACAATTGTTAGTGACTATATTGAGGAAAAAAGAAAAGAAAATTAACACAAATATAATTATTTGGTTGTACGATCAGTAACTTAACTGGACAGAAAAGTACAATGAATTACTTATTTATTTACTTGTCAATTACACCAATTCGGATAGCTCTGAAGAAGGGATGTCAGAGTAAAAGAAATATCATTTCATTTTATGGAACACCGCCCAAAAGATTACAGCGAATGTTTCTCAAGTAGAAAGTCAGATCAACAATTTTCTGACAAGCGAAATAAAGATATACATGTAGTGCAACTATTGGCTTTCTCCCTATGACATTTTTATGTACCGGGGTAATGGACTTCCTTCTTGCTAAATTTTTATGTAATAGACTTCCTTCTTGCTAACTTTTTTATGTAATGGAAAAATCAGTGAAGTGATTTATTTCATGTTATGTCTCTGCACCTAGTCCACAGATTCAACTTATTGTCCAAAAAAATGATGTACCTCATAAATGTTAGCAATTTTTGGACTAAATAATTTTTCAAGACTCAAGCAATTCTTTTAATATATTCTCAAACTTGGCCACTGAGAAGAAACCATGTGATTTTGGTTCAGTTATAATTGTGGATGAAACAAATTTTCTAGTCCATTGTAAACTCTCCCCTATTTTCCAAGGAAAGGGCATTCAATTTTATTGAATAAGATTATTAATTAAATTACATTTTAAAATTTGGATTGAACAAGACCAAAATATTTTCCCAAACCCCTGGTCATGCAAGTTTCAATTTTTACGAGCCAGACTAGAAAATCACCAGTCGCGACCGTACGGGTGGGTAGTGATTTCATGTCATGTATTCATGTCGATCTTCACCTAATTTAAACATAGCAAAACTCTGGGTACATTTCCTAAAGTTGATTGATAGACATCAAACGAAACAATTTTTTTAGGGGTTGACCACTCGAAACTTTATGAAAATTTGTTTTCACTTAGTTTTGAGAAAGATCTGTTCACAATGAATGAAGTTACTGTATACATATGCGCTTGTCTAAATCAAATGTGTGTGTATCTGTTTTTTTTGTATTTTTTCCCCTGTATTTTTTTTCAAAGTCCCCCCCCCCCCATCGTACTTTCTAATGGTCATGTGTCTTTTTGCTGGTTTAAGCGAAATAAAAAATATAAACATAACTTTAGTTGGTTAGGATTCATCAGTCATGCGACTGGGTCAGAAATAATCACCAATGTAGCTGCTACTAATTCATAAAGTATTTATTTAATAAGTACATTGCCACTTTGTATAAAGTAGATAAAAAAATACATTAATTTTTACAAGTGCATATATTGACATGAATAATAAATTAAAAAAAAATTTAATCAAGAATAAATCATTACGGAATGTTCAGCGAAATTTTATTTTTACCATTTTTGGTCATTAAGGAAACGTTAAGATCTTGATGAAGAGAGAGCCAAGAGACTTATATTTACCAAGTGTTTAATTCTCTCTCGTTATCCTGCCCATTTTTCCAAATAAAAGGGTTACATAGTTCAAGGGAAAGGTGGAATGTGAATTGAACACAATTTGAGGGAAAACAAGTCTTGTGGCTGTCTCATGCACGATGAGCACCTATGTACAATCTACATAGAAATTAGCAGATTCTTTACTGAGAAAGTTTGTGTCACTCCAAAAAGATGGTCTGCACACTGTAATTTTGCCTGCAGCTTTCACAAGATTTATCCAAAAAATAATTTGGACCATGTCCCAATTAATCAATCAATCAATTAACACGAATTTTCATGGCCCTCTATGTAACAAGCTTAACCAACAATATAGTATAGTACCCCAGTGGTGAAGTACAATGCAAGGCTACATACAAGATTGTACCTGATTGGCTGCCAAACCCTAACACCTAGTAGACAGACCAATAAGAGAGCAGCTTTTTTTTTTTTTAACATATGAAATTTTGCCTTTAATTCAACTGCAAGCTTGCACAGAACTGTTTCTAAACACTAAATGATTTTTTTAAACCCATGAGTTTATAGTTTGTATGACCAGTTACATTACATCACAAATGAACTGGTACTGCTTTATTTTGTGGGAGAAAAATGTTCACAATTCAAGAAACATTGTGAAATATTGAAGCAGTGACCATTTCACAGAGGTCTGCGAGGCAGTGACCATTTCACAGAGGTCTGCGAGGCAGTGACCATTTCACAGAGGTCTGTGAGATAGCGAGCACAGTGACCATTTCACAGAGGTCTGCGAGGCAGTGACCATTTCACAGAGATCTGTGAGATAGCGAGCACAGTGACCATTTCACAGAAGTCTGCGAGACAGCGAGCACAGTAGCTTTTGTAGCAGTGTTCATTTCACAAGCCGCACTTTTATTGGTCATTGCATATTTCTAGTTTTGCTGTCATGAGATGTAAACAGCTGTATTCAAATATCAACATTTGTTTCACAAATACATGGTTCAAAAGTCTTTCTGCGAAGATATGATACAAAGTGCATCAGCACTGAACGATTTAATTAATGAATGAAGCGCACTATATTTCATCTTATGGTGTGATCGGCATTACAAAATCACATTCATTGGTAAATTAATTTTCGAGCCATTGCTCTATTGTTCTGTTTGATGTCTCTCTTCCTCAATCACAATGGGCTGAGGAGTGAGCCCCTCTTGTAACGAGTCGATGATCTCCTCCTCGAGGCCCCCCCTAGCTAACTCATGATTGCCCACCCCATCCTCCTCATACCCAGCCTTGACAACATTAGCTTCATCATCTCGCTTCCCAAAGTTGTTTTGTTTTCCTCCCACCTGATCTGTGTCAGTGTTTCTTTGTTTTTCTTGAGTGGCGGCGTCTTCTTTTGTTGGTTGTCGAATCCAAGCCTCCGTGGGTGCAACAGGCGGAGGGGGTTGATGTGATGCTGGTGGTGGAGGGGGTGGTTGGTGTGATACTGGATGGATTGGTTGTGGTTGGTGCAATACTGGATGGGTTGGTTGTGGTTGATACTGTTGTAGTATGGATGCTACTCCAGGCCTCATGATGTCTTCAGGCGATAAGCCAACCAGAGTACACAGCTGACCAAGACTGAAAGAAAACATAAATTACTAAATCATCAAATACATACAATAAGCTCTTTAAACACCATACATTAGTCATCAAAATTGTTGTGCAATATTTTGCAAATTCTTCTGTATTTTTCTATTATTTTTTTTATTCTTTTAGACCAAAAGGACATAGTTTTTTATTGGCTACTGTTACTGTTCTTGATCAAATTCTTTTTTTAAAAACTAGAGAAAAGTTTGTGTAGACTAAATTTTGTGAAAGGTGACAAAAATCAACTTCATAGAGTTAAAAGAGAATGACTCCATGTGGTGTCATACCATATGTTGTCGACAGCCAATCACAACTGCTCATTGCAGATTGGCATATTAGTGTTTGTGTCTGTCTTTTCCATAACATTCCTATTTTATTTGGGATACCGGTAATATTATAAAAATAAACCCAGACCATGTTTGATATACAAGCCACTCCCAAGAATATCCCATTGCGAGAGTTTACACTCAATGTGTTGTTTCAGAGACTGACTCATAAGTTGTCTAGGGACTTCCATACCATAAATGTCCTAGGACTATTATATGCCATTGTTCTTATGAACTGTTCTAGAACTTTTAAAAGGATGACCAAGTATTACTATCTACTAAGAAACCACAAAGGTTGTGTTTGAACCTGAAACAAAAACAAAGGCTATGCACCAGACACAGTGCCCATTGAGCTATCTGGAAAATACCATACTTCCCTGTTCATAACCCCCTGCCTGGGTACAAGCCAACCCCTCTATTCATACACCCAGTTGTTTTTACTGGGCATCAGTGATTGGTTAAAATTTATTAGAATATGTGTGTAAATGGTGTTTCATTGAATGGAAATCGTGATTGATATGTTAGTTCTTTTTTTGAAGTGTGTAGTGGCCCTGACAAGGGCGGTTTAGTTTGTGCTTTTAGGAGAAAACAAAGCAACATGGTTCACACTTTTCTGTTCTGTTATTACTCAAGATAAACCCAATGTTGCAATACTGAAAAGAAATCCATATCTCTTTGAGTGGTAGCTTTTGAAATGTCAAAAATGTGACTGTCAAGTTGTGAAACTTGGTCATTGGAGATTATTTTACTTTTCTGAATAATCAGTGTCCATTGAGACTATCATAAATGGGGTGTAAAAAATTAATCTAGGCTTCAAGGTGACTTGTTGGCCACCATGAGAGACGTTAAATACTTCCTTTGAATCACCATTTTGGGGGGAGGGGTGTGTTTTTGTTGAAATCAGTGTTTACAGATTGTTTTTTAACATAGCGGTAATTCACTTTCACATTGCGTTAAAAAATTACATTATCAATAATCAGAATTTTCTGGAAAATTTCGTCAGTACTACACAGCATTTTGATTGTTTAATGATAGACTTGACCTGTTGTTTCAGGTCAAATGCAGAAAAACATTATGGCATAAATTTCTTTGCATCAAGAGTTTGCATAGATAGTTTGAAACAACTGTTAATTTTAAATCAAATAAAGCCCTCCTATTTGATCTCTTTTGAATATAAAATCCTCCCCAAGATAAAGTTTCACAGCCTGCCTGCACAGCGTCAACATTTCATCTCCGGTTGGACATACTTTAGATACTAGTACCAGAAGAATCCTTGTATCAGGGCTTCATTCAACACATAAACTATTGTAGCTAACTTACCCAGCATCTCTGAGTAGATCAAGAAATGCATGAAATTTATTGAATGAGGCCTCTATACTGTCTAACACAGTGTCATCTTCAAAGTCATCTGCTCCTATGCCACTTTTTGTGGGTTTGCTTCTAAATGGTGATGATGGTCCTCGGGCTTCCATCAAATGAATCTGATGTTTTAGACGACTGTTTTCAACTTCCAACTGAAAGACAGGATAAATGGTGATACAGCTCATTCCATTCTCACAACTAGAAGGTATTGTAGAATACTTTATTTTAGCTGGAACTAATTTTTGCTGAAAAGACTTTTTGGGTGTTTTGTATGGAATTTATTTTCACTGAATCATTCCTTCAGCGAAAATAGCGAAAATTTATTCCAAGCGAAAATAAAGTATTTAACAGTAGTAGAGGAAGGGATGGGATCATGAGAATTTTTATTACAGGATGATGGTTGTCACGCCATGCACACATTTTTGCAGGAGGCATTCACTTATATGGATGTATTCAATGAAATGGCCTCATTTTTCATGCAAACATAATGCATACATAAAGAGTTCACACACCTCAATTATTCTGCTATCAGCTGCAGCACGGGTTCTACTCTCAACAAAAAGTCGCCTTCTTAATTCTTCAAGCTCTACCTATAGGGAAAAAAATAGCAGGTATACCAGATTGTAGTTATACTGTGTTCAGAAATTGATCATTTAATGTGAAGCTATTACCTCCTATTTTTCCCAAGCATATGCTTTTCAATGGTCTAAAATTTGTGTATAGGTCTTTGCACTGTGACGTCTTTTGTCTAAATTTTCTCCGTAACTAGTACTCCCTGGTACACTGAAACAAATACAACTCAAAAGGAGTCAATAAAACTAAGTACCGGTAGATTTTAACGCCATATTTGAAAACATACACCTACCTGTAACCTCACACATGAAAAATATATAGAGTATTATAAACTTAAATGTATAATAAAACATGTCGCCTGATCAAAACTATCTTTCTAAATGATACAATTATACCGAATAGAATTTCTAACACTAAATTTCAAAAACACACAAACAACTCTCACAACTGAAAAAGGGAAAATTTGCAAATTTCTCCAAAAACAAAAACACAGTTCAGTCCACAGAAATTTTAAAAATATGTTATCATTTGAGTCAGAATTATCATTTCTAAGCAGAAAATAAGAGATCTCCTAGTATGTGAACGTCCAATGTCGCCCACTAGTTTGCGATAAGTGACAACATTTGCTCATGAATTGTTTTATTAAGAGTGATGCATATAAGTAGTGAACATTGATATTATTTTATTTCTGAGTACTAACGACTGGTTCTGCAAACTAGTACAAGTGCTGAGGCACTTTTCTTTAACTATCTGAGAAGAAAAGGTTTGAACTTGATCCTGAATATAAAAATCTGTTTTTTTGGTTACCAAAGCCTCTGTATTTTGATTGACATTCATTGGCCAAATCTGCACTATCAATGTCATATTGAACCCAGAGGCTTTAGCAACTGAAAAACGAGTTTTCATATTCATCATCAAACGTTGGTCGAGAAACCACCTTTAAACCTTATGACCTCAGTGAGTACTCCAGACACTGTACAGAAATGAAAACAACTATAACAGTCTGTATTCAATCACAGTACACAGTCGTCAAGGTAAAACTAAACTATTAGCAATTTACATACTTTCATGTCTTTGATAATAAATCTTGAGTCATCTTTGTGATCTATTGTATCTCTATCGTGTTGTAATAATCTCATACTTGTGATAGGCGTTGACATCTCAGTGTCCATGTCTGATGGTGTACTTGTACGGTTGATAACAACAGATGACATATCTGGTGTGGAGGTCTCACAGTTTGCCTCAAAAGATAATTCTCCTGGCTCTCGGTCATGTGGAAATCCCCTGTAGATTTAAGAAGGTAGATAATGTATGAAGAGATGAGTACAGCACCTCCACATGACATATTTTGGTAATTTATAATTTTGGTGATGTTATTAAGCCTTTGAACATATAATTTGTTTTCATAACTTTTTGAATATATGAATCAAGTTACCATAGGGAAGAAATAGGACTTGTATACATTTGGTAAAAAATTATCAAAATAGTAATAGAAAAAAAAAAAAAAATCAGCAAAATTTTGCAAAAAAATTTTGACGAGAAAAAACATGATGCCCATAATACACTATTTTCTAGAATAAAATGTATTGTGGTTTTCAAACTGTGAAGTATATGCATTTTGGTCTCTTTTGTTCCTGATTGACATTTCGTATGTGCACAAAGAGATGAGCATTGTGTGTGTTTGCGAAGTCAGTCATGTTGCAAGGGGATCTGCTGACTCTAAAACTAGACCCTTAATTTCTGGGCAAATTATGTGAAAGGTTCTGGGTTCAGCTCCCGGTCGAGCCCCCCAACTTCAACTTCATAGTTAGAGAACTGCAAGGTGCATGAATGTCATCATCTCAAATAAGTGATTCTATGTCGCCGTTCCAGCGTTATTGTTCAATGCTACTTTACTGTGGTCAAAGGTATTTTTTGTGGACCTTTTTCATAAACTGAAGTCATTGGTATTTGCATACATATTTGTATTTATATGAAATCCCTATGCCTATGATATGTATTTGTATGACATCATATTGAAATTGATTAACTATTTTATGGGGCAAGCATTCTGAATAATTATAATATTATTAGTTTTGAGTTAGGTTGTTATAATATGATTGTGTTAGCGTATTGGGCCACAATCATGAAATGTTCTGAATGCTTGACCTCAGTTTGTAAGGAATTAAATACGTTGAGAATGCCGGTGTTATTATATGCACATTTCTGATTCTATGGGTTAATGAGTGTATCCATCATATGTATTTACATTTATAGTATATAGTCTAGTCACATACAGTTAGAGAAGTTACAGTCATGAGTTGTTGATATTTGAGATATGTATTGTATTTGACCAATATTGAATGTATAGTAATTCATTGTAAATAATCTTGGGTAGTTTTCACATACTGTAAAATGACTAATTTTCACTGGGTTTAAATTTTACCGATTTACCATTTCAGGCATATTCAGTGGGTTTTATATTCACGGTTTTATCATTTAGATAATGTGTTCTATGCTAAATTTTACATATTCACTGGGTTTTAATTTAGCACATTTTCCAGTCAGCGAAATAAGCAAAATTAAAACCCAGTGAATAATTCTTTTACAGTTCTACATAATTTTGGTGTTTACAGTAAATAGTTTTGTATGCCTGGCATACTGTACAATCCAATGATACCTTGTGCACGCAGAACAAATAAATTTATATTTTGATTGTCATTTAATCTTTTTTTGTCGATCCTTGTCACTTCCTGGCATTGAGAGGTAACATTTGTCGCTACCTAGCACTGGGCCGTGACAATGCATCAGAGCATTCCATGTAATGAATGGAAGATGCCCCAATGTCAGAAGTATTTTTGGGAAGCAAGGAATGAATTTATGTATTTCAGTTAAACATCCTCTGTAGAACATGTCATTGATGATGTTACACTTGACTGTTGTCAACAAACTCAAGTGCAATTCCAGTTGCTACTAACCCATAACATTTTGTAGATAACAGTTTTGTGGTCGAGTGAATCATGCTGAATTTCAGCGTCCACTGCTACAACATACAACCATGAACAGACAATTGTATGTACTGTAGGTACACACACAAAAATGCACTGTGATATAAAAACAAAGTTGACCTAAAGTTAATCAGAGAGCTGTTTTATCACAGTATTAGTGCATGCTTTGTTTTACATTTGGATTTGTTCGAAGATTTGTTACTGATATTATGCATTAATTGAAGGTATGAATGCAAGTGTTTGCAATTCATTTAGCTAATATTCATGTGCGTCCATAAGATGTTAAGACTTGGGTGATGAATCAAGACGTGTTCCAAGAGCAATTCTGACAATGTATAGTGGTCCTAATTGCCCTTACCCTAAAGTTAGTCATATTATTACAGCGGTTGCAAGATATTTACATACACCTAACTCCCGCACCCAGTAGGCAATTGCCGAGGAACTTTGCAACAGCCCCAGACACTTCAATGACCGTTGTAGACGCAATAAAGTTGCATACATGCCTACGTGACAGTTAATCAAAACACCGGACGCAGAATGCCGTTGAAGTTTGGCTGCAAGGAACGAGGAGTAGTTGGACTATTCCATTACCGGTTGTTGGATGCGGGAGTTAGGTGTATGTAAATATCTTGCGCTCACTGTAAAAGATTACTAAACAACACATAATTTGTTGATGTCATTTTCTGCATTTTCAAATCTGGCATTCAGTACAATTTTCCGCTCTTCATACAAGATAGAAATTACCTGTGTCTACTAGCTCTAGCAGCAGTCCTCCACGGAATGAACCCAGGTCCAGGTTTACTGACATTTGGTGGCGAGTATCCGGAATGCCTGTTTGCTGACCGAATGCATGCCACTGTTTTACCATGCGTCTTAGATGCACCTGAACGCAACCTGATGGTTGTTTTTCTACCAAACGTACTGTTCAGTGTCTTCGTCTTCTTTCGTGATTTACCTCTCTTGCTTGGATCTTTAGGGGAAGACATTTTTAGCCATTTATACTGAAAGAAACAATATTTTTAAATCTCAAAATAAGACAGCATTTAGACAAATATCACCAAACATATTTACATTTATTAGCCATGTCATACACATAAACTTATATATTTAAAATTTGGGATGTAAAAAGCCAATTTGTTGCATTTCCCGATGCTCTAAGGTATTCCTTACAAAGTATTTAAATCCAAAAAGAGTGGTAACTTCAGGGATACTAAACAGATGTAATCTGTTTTGTTTATTTGCCTATTAGTAATGAAAAAAACTGGTTTTATTTTCAGAGGCTTATCAACATAAGCTGCAATACATATTCAGTACTACTCCTAATATGTCAATTTTTACCTCAACCTCTTCTCCACCACTGTTAATGAGTACTTGCTCCATAACGTCTTTCAGTAATTCTCTATCTGTAAAATTAGAAATATATGATGATCGGACTATGACACAGAAACCTATGATACATACAGTACCGTACTATAGTGATAGTGATCAGGGTGTCCTTGCAAGTCCAAAATCGAATCCCAGAAAATCAAGTTTGGCCAACAAGGTGGCTGCTAAAAAAAGAGGTAATAAAAAATTGTACATGTATTGGGCTGTAGGGAGCTTCTAAAGGTAACAATGATATTGACAGTCGTCACTAACACTATAAAGAATAATTACCGATACTTTCATTAGAGAGCATAGAAGCAAATCAAGACTAAACAAAAGTGCAATAGCTACTCACCAATTAGAGGGTTTTTCCTGACATCTAAAACTACTAATGTTGAGTTGGTTTTGAGTACATCCAATAATGCCTTGGCACCCACATCTGATATACCACACCCCTGCATATCAAGAGCTACACAAATAATTTAAAACTATATTATTGTATATCCAGCATAAAAAATAACAGAATGAGTCATTTTGTAAAAACATATCAGCACTTTTCAAATTTTCCCTTATATGGGATAAACGCACCAACAGCGAAGCATTCAAGGTTATTGACATCACATTTGAACACTCTCCTATGTATAGATTGGACGCAGAAGCGCTATAGAGTGAGACAGAATTAGGAACTTATTTTACGTGCCATCATCTCTCAATAAAGTATTACAACAAGCATGAAAAATATGTAATAATGAGGTTATCAAAAAAATACCAGAAAGTATGCACTCAGGCAGTACTGGGTTGTTTCAAGCTTTTTTACTTGTTGGTCAATACTACCGGTAACGCAATTCTGCCTTCAAAACTTGTGAAAACCTTGTATCATATTAAACCAGTATGTATCACACTGTTCAGGGGATTGCTTTAATCCAAACTTAAAACATAATTTAAACATAAAGTGACTTTTTTATGCTGCAGCTCAGCTGATATTCAAAGACTTGCTTTTAAAAAACAACATGCAAGCACAATTCTTGCTATTGCATTTCAAGAGCTACACATCAAATAAACTATTATAAGTATCAAATCACAAATTTGAATGATTACTACTTTTTAACACATCATCTTCATGATCCCCAACAAACTTTTGGTACATTATTTAACAATTATTTTTTTTATTAAATCTGGAAACATTTTGTGTGGATTTATTTTGTGAAAGGTGACAAATTGACTTAAAATGAAATTTGTGATTTGCTGCAAGCAATGAAAATGTTCAAACAAATAATATATCATTTGCATCTTGTATACAAATTATGTGATGGCAATCTGAGGCACGACTGACCTTTGAGCCATAGATCATCCCGAAGTCCATCCGCAAAGGCAATGGCACCTGAATCATTGACCAAAGAATTTGAATTAAGTGTGAGTCTCCTCAGTCCAGACATCCTATCTAAATCTGGTCTTCTATACCTTAAGCTATCCTGCCATGCTTCACTGTGCCTCTTGGTTGCCTGGTGCTGAAATGAACAAGTGTAAGGTTATTATCAAATCGCTGTACATGTCGCATGGTAACTATGTACAAGCAATGTGGTAACCATGTACAAGCCATGTGGTAACCATGTACAAGCCATGTGGTAACCATGTACATGCAATGTTGTAACCATGTACAAGTCATGTTATAACCATGTACATGTGTAACCGTCTACATGCCATGTGATAACTATGTACATGTCATGTTGTAACTATTTACATACCATGTGGTAACCATGTACATGCCATGTCGTAACCATGTACATAACATGTGGTAACCACATACATACCAAGTGGTAACTATGTACATGCCATGTGGTAACCATCTACATGCCATGTGATAACTATGTACATATCATGTTGTAACCATGTACATGCCCTGTTGTAACCATGTACATGCCATGTAGTAAGCATGTACATGCCATCGTGGTAACCGGTAACCATGTACATGTCATGTCGTAACTATGTACATGCCGTGTGGTAACTATGTACATGCCATATGGTAACTATGTACATGCCATGTAGTAACCATGTTGAATTCAATATGTCCATGTTCTATACATATTACCGTATATACTTTAAATTGATTCAATTTCGCAAGACAAAATTTTTCAGTGAAAATCATAAAATTTTGTATGCAGTAAAATTTCTCGGTGGCTTTCGCAAAATTCTTTCTCAGTGAATACCATAAAATTATCGCAAAAAATCAGAAGAAGGAAAAATGTGATCTGATGGCAGCCAAGCCAAATATATCGGTATTATATTTTCAAACTAACACAAGCCATGTATGGCACAGTCCCCGTTAGTAATCAAACTTGTTTACAGTAATATAGTTTAACTTAAACATGTCAGAGATATAGATCCAGAAGCTGATGCTTGAATATGATGATTTGTTAACATTGTAATGATTGACATTCAGTCTGATCGTCAAACGAGTACTTGTCTATATGGAGAGATACTGTAAAATGACTAATTTTCACTGGGTTTAAATTTCACTGATTTACCATTTCAGGCATATTCAGTGGGTTTTAAATTCACGGTTTCGTCATTTAGATAATGTGTTCTATGCTAAATTTTACATATTCACTGGGTTTTAATTTAGCCCATTTTCCAGTCAGCAAAATAAGCTAAATTAAAACCCAGTGAATAATTACCCCCTTTACAGTATTGCTCCGGAACAGCATTAATTAAAACAAAATGGCCATTTTGAATACATCTGTATATCTATAACAAGATTTATTAAGAATATATAAAATTTGAATATAATCTGTCAAACCATATCAGAGATACACCTTCATTCATTAAAACAAAATGGCTGCCAGTCAGCCATTTTGAATTAGATTTGAAAAATAAAATGACGTGCATCAGGGGCCCATAATGTCTTGTGTATGTACCAAGTTTGATCAAAATCCATCCATACCAGAAAAGCTTGATTTTTGATGATTTTTTGCACAAAATTGGCCGCCACTCAGCCATCTTGAATCAGATCGTGAAATAAATTGATGTGCATATGTATAATATTATGTATTATGTATGTGTGAATTTTGAATGTAATAAGTCTGGCAAATCTAGGATATACCGGTAGGTACTGACACACAGGGGTCAATCTATAAACTGAGACTAATAATGGCAGCATTAATGGCGATTTATTCTTGTGTGCGTAAATAGTAGGAATGTAGTTGAGAAAGAAAACAGAAATATGATATTAAAAGGCAGGTGGTCGTCACACCATGCCCTGTTCAATATTGAACTCAAGCAACATATACAACCCAGGTAAAATAAATTTGTTGTTTACATAAATTTCGAACATATGCTGTGTGACATCTGCCAGCAAAATCAATAGTACAGTCTTCTTCCATTATGGAAAATGTGTGCATTTTGAATGTGTCAATAATATGATGCACATTTTCAAAATAAAGATTCTAAAGTGGTTTCTGAATGGATAAATTTTTCCCTGCTGGTGTACAATATGTAGAAATTCAACTTTATAGACAAACAGTCTTTTATATGCAAGTTGATTAATTAATTCACATTAGATTTTTATACATGTAACTTTACAGGTAAATTTCATTCAAACAGCCCAAAGGCTGTCACTATGGGTAAGTGGTGTTTATTTAAAGATAGTCACTAACATAAGTTCAACTGTACATTTATTGTGTATAAAATAATAATCCTAACCTTGATGACCTTTGCTAGCGTATCAGCTCCCTTCCATGTCATACAACACCCTGTGAGATTCAAGGAATGAATGGTTACAGAGTTCTTGAGACCTTGGCATATAATCTGCACACCTTGGTCACCAATCATACAGTATTCCAAAGATAAATGATTTAAAGATTTATTCTTTGATATGCCCTGTCAAAAATAAATAATACACATAAACTGATGTGAGTGAAGGAGTGAAGAGAACGGCAACAAATTAACACTTGATCACTAAAATATTTGTGATTTTCCGTTCACAGCAAAATCTTGCATAACGTGTGAAGGATGCAAATCAATGCCTGCTGCAAAAATCTAATTTTTCTATAGTTCAATGTTGAGATGCCCATCTTTCAGAGGGAACTATGGTACCGTATTGAAATACCCTTACTTCATCAAAATTGACCATCATCAAATGTGTACAGCATATCATTAGGCATGGAAATACTCAAAAAATAGTTTTATAAAAATATACAATTGTTGAATCTCTTGCGATGTTTTGATGTCACTACAACGCTATGAGCTTTGTTTGTCCTGTTTTTATGTTCGATTTCACTCATAACACAGGATCTCTCAGTAAACAGTCTATCGTTCTTTTAATACATGTACAAGCAGAACAAGCCACTCTTACGAACAAAGAAACATTTGTGAAATTATGGCAGGACTTCCGGTACTATATTTTGGTCAGTGTGTCATCAGGGTTGATTTTCTAGGGAACTCAAGTCGAAATAGAATAAAAAAATCAAGTTAGATCATCTTGTTAACTGCCGGGGATAGAGGTCTTGAAAATCAAGACGATATGTGGCTGCAGCAAACAAAATGGTATGTCCTTTGATTTTCTTAGTTTTTACTTATTTCTTTTACCCAGTTGCAAATTCCTAAACTACAGTAAATATACAAATGTATACTAAAATATTTTTCAAGGTAATTTTTTCAATGTATGATTGTCTATTGAGTTAATGACACGTCAGGAAATAAGCAGAACTAGTTGCTCCACAACAAATCTCTGTGCAACATTAACCTTTTCACCAGCAGCCTTTCGCGTCCCAATTTTTCTGCACTTTTTTCTTCTATTCTTCAATATTTCTAGCAATGAGTCAATTTTTAGTTTTTACTCAAACAATTTGGCTATTTTCGTCAAATCTTCTGAGGAAAAGTGCAGACACAAATAACACAAATATTTTTGTGAATTTTTGATGAAAAAAGGGAACTGGTGTTGAAAAGGTTAATGACTTAAGGTTCACATTGTGGTAGACAAAACATCCTATTGGAAACATTAAACAGAAAAGCATAACTGCTGGAATCTAAAAATGAACATGTGTGACTTTGTAACATTTTTACTTTACTGTACATTGCATTAAAAAAATAGATTGGCAGTGTAGACATTCATGAAACACAAATATCAAACAAACAAAAAGTTTGAAAAATAATTTCATGGTACAGTGCACAGAATGGTGCATGTTTTAATTTTTAAACCTGTTATATTGTGACTATTATGTTGTTGTTTTTTTATTATTATTATTATATGGTAAAATAAATATTTCCAAAGTAAACTACAGTAACACTGCACTACTTCTTGGCCATTTCTGCCATGGCCGATTATTGTCTACCCTGCACATTCGCCTTCCAGTAAAACAAAATTTTGAGTCAAGAACACAAAAAGTGAAAAACCCCTCCCCAGTAGTATGAAAATCATGTGATCACCACTACCGAACTGAACATGTGTGCTGTATTCATAGAGAAATAAGCGTTATCTTACCTTTGAGAGAGCAGTGAGATCTCTTTCCCTAAGGGGTAGTCCCTGTAACTCTAGTATGGTCAATGCAGGTGATACTGAGAGACAATCTTTTAGTGCTGTACATAGTCTGTAAGTAACTTCTTTACTCCTAATAGGGGGAGCTCTCTTTTTTGCAGTATATTTCTGGGACTCTGACACTTTATCTAAAAATAAATAAAATAATTTCAAAAACAATTTGCGAAACAATTATCTCCATGTGACATACAATAAAATCTACATGACGTTTAAGTATAGAAAAAATATTGGTAATACCAGGCAGCTTCCGCCCACATGGTAGTAAATACTGTGTTAGGGACAGTTTAATAATGAAAACAGTTAGTTTGGTGATAGGGTTAGGGAAAGACTGGTTCAGGAAGTTTGCTAACATTAGCACAAGATTCCTTGACTTTTATCATATGCCTTTATTTTATGCTGGGCTCTCTCTGGAATTTGCTAGGTAATAGTAAATTTACTAATCAAGAAAAAAGTATTAGTAAACTTTGTCTGGAAACTGCAGAGCATTTTCCCGCGACTGAGCACAACGGGGAAGAGAGAAGGAGAGGGAGGTGTCCCCTCTGTCGTCCGCCGAAAACAAGAACAGCATGCTGAAAATGGTGCTTGCTGGTGCAACCTGAGCTCTAATTTTGTGTGTACTTTGTAATTTCATGACATCAAATTAGGCAGTCTGCTCCACAAAATGTACCATTTATGATGGTACAACAAAACATCACAACAAAATATGCAATGTAGACACCAGAACCTTTATTTGAATAACTCAGTATTAATTAAACATATGCATGATAAGCTCACATTGTTAACAGTGGGGAAAATAGTCATCATTCAAAAGTTCACTAAGTTCACTGCCTAGAACACAAGTCATCCTGTGAATAAATTTTCACGGAAAATTTCTCAGAAAAAAACTCTATGCCAATCAATACTCTTATGAAGTTATCTCCCGTGCTCATGCAAACCCGCATGTTGACGTTTATGACGACACAAAATGACTATTTATTTTCATCGAAATTTCTAAATTAAAGTGAAAAAGTAACTAAAGTAACTTTCGGTCTTGTAACTCGATCTCAATGCTAAGAATGCCCGGTAAGAATGTTACACAAATTATAGTATTTTTCGATCGATTCGCTAACATTGTCTCACCTTCCATTAGCTGTGGAATCATAGCCCTATGTTGCCGACCGCATTATTTACGTGACAGACACTGGCCGGCCCATGTTCGACATACAACAACAAAAATAAAAACAAGACGTCCGAATGAAATTGGTAGGGCAAAATTAGATTGTATGTCGCACCAAAGGCTATGGAACCGCAGCTAACCTTCCATTATTTCTGAAATCGTGCTGCAGTACGATCAACTTTCCGTTTCTTGGTGCTGTCAGGGTTAGGACACCCATGGGTTTCTGGTTCTGAACATGATTTAGCGGTTTCTCCATCTCGTCGTAAAAAATACTCGTCGAGCAGTTGTCTGCTCCTTTTTGACGTACTAGTAGTCTCCATTTTCAATAAATAAACAAATCACGTGTTTGAAGGCGACATGAAACCGTCCCATACTGAGAGTAAAGTCGCGAGGTATCTTGAAACACATGTCGACTAAACTACGCATGTGCGATGACACCAAAATAACTTAAGAGTGGAAAAATACATTCAGTGGCAGTTCCGTGTTGATCGCGATCACCATGTAACAATTGTTGCAATCTTAGAAGTAAGGGGACATTGTTTAACTTTAAAATGGCAATCACTCAAACCGTAACACGCGTGATGATCACAGTCGAGTCTTGACAATTAAATGAGGGCGATTTGCGAGGGTATTTTGTACAAAATGTGTTCGTAAATCCTACTAATAGATATTTATTTTGTTCGTAAATCTTGTCCAAATTTCGTAATTTACGACATTTGCGAGCGACAGCGAGAGCACAGTTATGCTGTTTCTCACAAAATCAAAGTAAAAAAAAATGGTGACTGAACTATTTTTTGCATAAAAAATGTCTTAAAATAAAATGATGATTTTCAAGCCATTTACTATTGGTTTCTATGGTGAAAATCTTAAATCATATTTCAACATCTTTTTCATTTCTTTCACTTCTTTTTAAAAGAATAATTCCCTGACAAGAATTCCAATGGCAATAGTTCCAAAAATGCCAATTTTAGCATGTTTTTCCAAAAAAGTACTTTGTATATACTCAGGTCAAATATTACGTTATTTATTACTTTTAAAACAAAAACAATAATTTCACACTCACCATCATCACAATTTTGATAGTAACTTCGAATCCCAATGTACTGTAAACTTTTATTGATGGCCAGCGTATTCAATAAGGGTGTCCAATCTGATAGGCGTATTCTATCAGCATTTACATCTAAAACACCTTCCTCAATATGTGCTTTGACAGAATGTAGGGGACATGTATTCTGAAGTAGACATAGATTGTCATAGTGACTACCAAAGTCGTATGCTCCTCTTTGCCTAGCTTGTACACTCTCAATCATGATTAGTACTATATAACCTGAAATAGAGAAAAATATACTACATGTATTGTAAAATATTAAAACAGCTACATACATGTACCATTTTAGCGAACTTGACTCAGTGCACGGATTAAGAGAATCTGAATTTGGCTAAAGAGCAAATATTCTTACTGTGAGAAGGTACCTTCTTTTAAACTAGCAAAATTACAGATTAGCTGTACATTGTACATCGCTAGCATAGCTTTCAATAACACCATACACATTGAATTAGCAAAATTACAGATTAGCTAAATTAGCAATCTAGCTAAAAAGACATGTTTTACAGTACGTTGTATCTCGCTAGCATAGCTTTCAATAACACCATACACATTGAATTAGCAAAATTACAGATTAGCTAAATTAGCAATCTAGCTAAAAAGACATGTTTTACAGTACGTTGTATCTAAAAATTATGATTTAGTGCTTTTACACGAGATTTGGACATTGGGCAGTCATAATGAATCAAATTACAAAAATAATGTTCATGTTGATGTATCTATTGGTATACTGTCTTTGTACAAAATTTAAACAGAAATGTTCATTGCATTCATGGGAAAGTAGGCATGAGTATCACGAAAAACAAAATGGCCACCAGTCAACCATATTAGTTTGAATCACAGAAAAAATATGACATGCAACTATAACCCAATATGTATGATCATCATACCAACTTTGATCCAAATTGGCCTAGTCATCTCTGAGAAACAGCTCCGGACATGTAAAAATGACGATTTATAGTGCTTTTACATAAAAATTGGGCGTCAGCTAGCCATATTGAATTGAATCACAAAAATAATGTTGGTGCAGATGTATCTCTTGGCATACTACCTTCGTACAAAATTTAAAGAGAAACGTTCATTGCATTCAAGAGAAAGTAGCATGATAACCATGAAAAACAAAATGGCCACCAGTCAGCCATATTTGTTCAAATCACGAAAACAAATATGATGTGCACCTATAATCCAATATGTATTATCTACATATGAACTTTGATCTTAATTGGCCTAGTCATCTCTGAGAAACAGCTCCGGACATGTAAAAAATGACGATTTAACACTTTTACAGGAAGTTTGGGCGTCGGTCAGCCATATTGAATCGAATCACAAAAATAATGTGGTACAAATGTATCCCTTGGTATACTATCTTTGTACAAAATTTAAAGAGAAACGTTCATTGCATTCAAGAGAAAGTAGCTTGGGTACCACAAAAAACAAAATGGTCACCAGTCAGCCATATTTGTTCGAATCACAAAAAAATATGACGTGCACCTATAAGCCAATATGTATGATCACCATACCAACTTTGATCCAAATCGGCACAGTCATCTCCGAGAAACTGCTGCAGACATGTTTTGGTATCAGAAATAGCAAATTTTACATCCAAAATGGCCGCCAGTCGTCCATTTTTGCTCCGATCATAAAGTAACTTGAATGTATTGTCTTCATTTAAATGAAAACCGTCAATGGGTGTCCGAGATATAGCTCTGGACGGACGGACGTACGTACGTACGTACGGATGGACAGACGGACGAAGTGATCCCAAATTAATAGTCCCCGTTTTCGGACTTCGTCTGATGGGGGACTAACAACTTAGCAAAGTATTTATCACTGATAGTAGAGCTAATAAGTGAATACCAGGAACCCTGAAAATGTGAACAACTTTTACTTTCATAGTACTTAAGGTGAATGTTAAACTTTACAAAGAATTTGAGATTTGACCCAAATTGTAACACACCTATACATCACTGCACTAGTAGTTTAGGGCAATCAAGCATTTGTGTCAGCAAAGAGACTTACCTTAGTGTTATAGTGACAATGCACATGCATACAATATTTCAACAAATCAATATCCAAACCAATTTAAGTTTCAGCTCAAGACGATTGTTTCGTTTTTATCTGAATAGAACATATATAACATGTATAATGCCAATGATTTCAGTTACTGTGAAAATTGAAGTTGACTTCAACCTTTAAATGTCAAATGTCACAAAATAAATTCACATCCATTTTTCCATATGGTTACCATCTTGAATGTTGGTCAAAAATGTTCAAAATCATGTTTGGCATTATTCCGTGTACTTAAAACAATCAACTTAATATGTTGCATGTAGCTTCTCATTATGAGAAAAATAAAATAATTAAAGTGGTTCGGTTTGGTCGCCATATTGAATTTCTCGCATAACGGGCCCATAATGTTAGTGTTTTGACCTATTGTTCTGAAATAGTGTACCGGTAT